TTAGAGATTGAACTAACAGATTCTGCAGAATAGGAGAATAGAGAGAGAATGAAGCAGAATGATGAAATGGGGATTCCTATGTCCTCCAAAAGTTTTAATTCAGGATATCTCTGTACATTGTCGCCTTCCCCTTTTACTCTATTTAGAATAGTCTACCAGTTTCTGCTTAAGAACAAACCTCCCCTTAGAATGATGCTGTCACCACCATGCCTCACTGTAGGGAAGGTTTTGGCCTGGGGAGGTTTTGGCCTGGTTTTCTCCCACTAGAATTTCGGTTTTGATTTGCTGGGAGTCCTTCAGTGCATTTTGACAAACTATAGTTTATTTTTCTGGCCCTTCTACCACACAGGCCTCATTGGTATGGGGGTCAATTGGTGCCTGACATACATCTATGTAAGGTGTGTATCTAACATGCTTATGCGATGGAAGCTGTTTATATAGTTGGTTAAGGCCTGATTGCTGCAGAATGATTATTCTATTGGAAGGTTCTCCTTTTCCACAGAGAAACCAATCCCTTTGCATTTTGTGTTTCAGAAATTGAGACAACAGAACATCTCTTTTTTTCCACAGTAATGTAAATGACGTTTTTTGGAAGGAATTTTAAAATGCATCTTGTGTAGGAATTCATTTTCTGTTTTTAATTTAACAAAATCTGGAGATATATAACCATAAAACCATGGTAGCAATATAACCTTAGTCTTACTTAGTCTTCTAAGTAATTGTTTTATTCGTAAGTGCCATAAAAAAAATATAGGTAAAATACTTTTATTTAAAGAAGCGTTAAACCACTAGTATTGCAATATATCAGTAATTTCATGTAAATATGAAATTCTTGTTGTAAATGTAAAGACAGCTTGTTTTGTTTTTTGCTCAGACACTGTTCATTCTATCATCCTTTTTGTGTTTTTTATGTTTAACTGTTATACAATCTCTGCTCTGTCATACTGTAACTTGTAAAATTTCTACTCTTTTTTTTTTGTGAAATGCCCCCCATATCGTATCAAATCTTTAATAAACATAATGATAATTTGTTTTAAGTGCTATTTGTTTCAGTTGTGTTGTGGGTTCTACAATAAACACACAGGTACTTGAAGAGAATGGGCTTTTTCTAGTAAACTTGCACACTCGTATTACAGGCGTACACAACTGTATTCATACTACACTACATACCTGTATGTTCCAACACTTGGTTTTTATACAATGCACATGCTCCACCTATTTAACTCATAGGGAATTACCTCAATCAGGAAGACCATTAAATTGTTCATATCATCCTCCCTTCTTTAAGTAAAAGTTTTTAAACTGATGGCTCATGTACATTGAAACCTTATGAACTTACTTTAACCTAACTTTTAATCTATTGAAATGTACTTACTTTAATCTGAAAAACCATTCCAACTATATAAAACTATCTTTCAAAATGTTACCTCATCCTGACTGCATTACCATACTAAATATGTTCAATCAGTCTCTCTGGTGGTCATATAACCCTTGAAGATCTCTTGAGGTGTTGTTCTGGACTCTCAGCAGGATCTAGATTTGAATCCGAAACTGTTATCTCAGATGATGGATTCTCTGGATGCTGATGTTGATCGGCTGCTTCATCAGGCGATCGATCTGCTTTTGCTGGCCNTCTGAAAAACCATTCCAACTATATAAAACTATCTTTCAAAATGTTACCTCATCCTGACTGCATTACCATACTAAATATGTTCAATCAGTCTCTCTGGTGGTCATATAACCCTTGAAGATCTCTTGAGGTGTTGTTCTGGACTCTCAGTAGGATCTAGATTTGAATTCGAAACTGTTATCTCAGATGATGGATTCTCTGGATGCTGATGTTGATCGGCTGCTTCATCAGGCGATCGATCTGCTTTTGCTGGCCCCAGGATGTCACGGCGATTCCTTCTCAGCACTGGGCCATCTTCTTCTCTTAATGTTGTATGATCTTGCTTGAATTTCTTTCAGGACAGATGCTTTCTGTGACACTGTGTTGGTTTTGTCTTTGAGTCTCACCTTGTCTCCAGTTTGCAGTTCAGGTAAGTTTTGTGTTCCTCTGTCATAGTAGAATTTTTGGTTTGTTTTCTGCTGTTCTTTGTATCTTTTCACCTTTCCTCCCTCCTTTGTTTTCAGCAGTTTTTCCTGAATAGGCAGGTTCGATCTCAGTCTGAGTCCCATGACGAGTCTTGCAGGTGACATACCACACTCCAATGGCATTGTGCGGTACACAAGCAGGCTTTGGTAGTATTTCCACTGTCCTTGGCTTTGTACAACAGTCTCTTCACAGTTTGAACGGACTTTTCAACTAGGCCATTTGACTGAGGGTAATGCGGACTCGATGTTGTGTGCACAAAGTTCCATTCCTCAGCAAAGCGTTTGAAGCTCTCACTGGAAAATTGTGGTCCATTATCTGAGAAGTGTGTCACTTGACACACCGTATCTTGCAAAGACGGCTTTTATTACTGTTATTACTGTCTCTGCTGTTGTAGATAACGAATAATAAACTGTGATGACAATATAGTCTCTTCCAC